AATATCGCCACAATTCGTGGCTCAAGTACTCAAGAAGTGAGCGGAAATCAAAGTACTGAATAAGTACTGCAGACCCAATACGCCACCTGTGCTATTGATAGAAACTGGTGCAGCATCTGCACAAGCACTACCAACATCTAACAGCTAACGATCATTAAACACAACTGTGCCACATCAACATGTGTACCAACCTGAGGTGTCATGGACGGCTGCCGTGGTGTTGGCTTCGGCACCGGGTTCAACCAAGGGTCCTCCGGGACCAAAGCACAGCCACAGGTGCAGGGTCACGACAGAAACAAGGAAGCACTATCATCTGTCTTGTATGAATCACGGTCTAGGTGCGCAATGAGTGATCAGCAGGTTTCATTGCAACGATCCTCTTGCTAGAGTCCACTAGAGTTTCTCTTCAAGCTGAGAAGAGAATCCTTCACTTGTGTCCAAAACAGCATGCTGACAGACACTTTTGGATGTCAATATGTGTCGGGAGGTGGGAGGTGAGGTGAAAAGCGTTAAGCAAAGCGAGATTGGTTAAGGCGAGATGAAATCAGGGGCGGCAACTGCACATGGATTACATGTTCTGGAGCAAGTTATTACGATATAAGACGAGAAAAAGAAGAGTTGAGTGGCAAGACGAGGTGCTGCAATCTCAAACATGACCATGCAGTGAAACCAAATATTGAACAACAACCGTAACCAGGGCAAAACACGTCCAGCGTTCGACCTCGGGAAAGCACGGCAGCCAATTTGTGAAGCAACATCAGCTTATATAAGCCATCTAAATTCCGAAGTGTAATAAGCCAAACGACAGTCCTGTGTCGTCATAGGCGGCGCTTTTCTCATCACTTCCTTCAGCAAAAGCAACAGCACAGTGCTGTGAGAGTGCACTTGTTGGACTTACTGGGTGGTTCATAGCTCTCGCGTACAAGGGTCATGAGGACATAACTGGCCACATGAATCCTCCTCTCTACCAAGCCTGGTCATTTGTACAAGCTTCATATCGCTCTTTGAACACAACACGCTGATAGAAAAAGTAGTAACAAGTGCCACGCTAGTAGTAACAGGTGCCTTACTAGTAGTAACAAGAAGCTACTAGGAACAAGTGCATCGCTTCTAGTAACAAGTGCCTTACTAGTAGTAACAAGGTTCGCTAGTAGAAACAGAATCTGCTTGACCACTACCACCCTTAGACATCCCATCAGAACGTGCCTGAGCCCTGTCAGGGGGTTGCTGTGGCTGGCTGGTTGTGGCTGGAGTGTAGTTGCTCCATGCACCTGCCTGAAGGGAGTTGGGAGGTCGAGGATGGAGGGCGATGGCAACCACACATATAACACCGACACCTTGTTTCATCATCCAAACATACAACAATAAGGATTCACATAAGACAGCTTTGCAAAGTCTGTGTGTGGGCGGCTTGGCCTATGTAGAACGCTAGGGAGCATCATGCTGCCATTGCCGCATGCGCTGAAAATGGAAATAGACTATAGTATTTAGTTTGAATCTTTGGGTATTTGATATCTTATTTGATATCCTTTTTCATTGAATAGCCTAAAGGGCTCTTTTGGAGAAGTATCCAAAACATGTTGTTTTCTGATGTGTTTTGGCTGAATGGTTTTGTGGCCTTGCTGTACAGTTGCTTGCACGTGTTGTGTTGACTTGACTAGGTAACACTTGAGTCACACCTTGCTATGAGTAGCACATAGAAAAGCTAGGTTACACTTGGCTCTATAGGTAAAACTTGACTCTAAGTTGCTTGCTAGTGTGTAGCACTTGAGGATGAAGTTTGGGATGGCGAACTGGACCAAGCCAAGCTCTAGTGGAAACACACAACCTGAAAAGCACCTTGAAGGGGACATACACTCTGCAAAAAGAGTAAGAGCAAGAGTAAGCACAACATTGCAAAACACTCGAAGGAAATTGCATTTGCCCACACTCACACAAAAGACTTTCTGTAGCTCTTGGGCGCTCTAGCTATTTTGGGTTGTGTTGGGCACCCATGTTCATTTCTGTTTCCGCAAGTCTAAGTGCTGGAAGCGTCGAACAAACTGAACATGCAAGGTTCTTATTTTTTAGGCGACAACGGTGTGCTTGTTTGCAGCATGTTTTTGTTGACATACTGGGATAAGTTCGTTCGATGAAGTATGCTGTATGAATGCCCCATCGACAGCCACGAGATCGAAAGTTCGACAGTGTGTCCATCCCACAGCAGGGCAGAATGTCCATCCAGTCTTGCACC